TTAACACATTCTTAAACCCAAGACCAAAAAACCCAGTTGCCCGCCGGAGACACCGCCAGATTTTCATGCTTCTTCCCTATCCCAATTCCTAACAAAAAGGGGCTGAAGAAGGCGAAGAGTGTTGATCCCATTGCTCACACACATCGTGCATCGCCGAATATCACCGATTCCCATTCACAGACCCATTGTAGAAGGCAAAGATAGTGGATCCCGATTCCCTTTCACAGACCCATTGATCCTGGGTTCGCAATTTTGGCATCGAGATCCGGCCACCGCCACCTCCAATCCACAACTCACAAGCCATCGATACCATCGGGGGTACCCTAATTCGCAGCCGCGGTTTATATATATATAGATATATATATATGTGTGTGTGTGTGTGTGTGTGTAGATAGATATATATGTGTGTATATAATGTTGGATTGTAATTAATTATTAATTGTAATTGTTAATTACACTGCTGGATTAAACCAAAAGGATAGTATTGTAATTTGTAAAATATGATTTGTTTGATTTTTTAAATAAAGTAGAATATCATAAGGGTAATTTAGTCATTTCACATACCTTTAATGGTTCATTGACAGAGTTGGGGTAAAATGATAACGTTTTTATATTGTTAGGGGTTTTTAAAAATTGGTTGGGATTTTATGATCATTTTTTTGAAAGTAGTGGGGGTTTTGAGAAATTTGCCTTTTTTTTTTTGGAATGTAAGGATCTGAGTCACACAATTCACTCAAACCATTGGCGCTCTATCGCTCCACGTGCGAATTGGCATTTTGAGAAGGAATTTGCCAAAAATTCATGCTTTCATGTTTTTAAATTCACGAATTCAATTTAAGAATTCACCGGTTTTTAAAGTTCAATTCAACGAATTGTGTAAGGTAAAATCGTGTATTTTGTTCAAGAATTCAACGACTATTGACAATAAATTCATGAACTTAGTGTGAATCTTGAGAAATTTTGATTTTATCCCCAACTTAAATAAACCAAATAAGGTTAATTATGTCAAAAAGTAATCAATTTAATTTAATTAAGTAAATTATGTCATTTATAAGTAAAAATCAAATAATATAACAATATACTTAATATTTAGTAATATTTACGTAACTTACCTTCATTAGACAATATTTATTAGTAAAGAAATAAATGAATGAATAACTTTTCATACTCTGATTGTGAATTTCTAAATCTCTGATTTCTCAATTTTCTATCTGCTATTAAGTGTTGGATTTGTGATTCTTGAACTTCTTTTACTAGTAATTGACTCTTAATTCACTATTACATTTAGGGCTCTTTGAACTGAAGGAAATAGGAATAAGGGTAAAGTACAGCCACACCCCTTGAGGTTTGGTAAAAGGACACTCAAAGGAAACTTATCTGTTTTTTGGATAAAGACACCTCCTGAAGGTTCAAATATGGACAAAGACACCCCTTTACATGAAAAATTGACCAAATTACCATTTAACTGTTTAGGAGACTTTTTTAACTTTACAATTTAATAAATTGGACCAATCCAACCTCATGAATAATTTATGAATAAAAAAAAAGTAAAAAAAAAAAAAAAAAAAACTTTATATTGTTCACTTTTTTTTTTTTTTTTTTGCTATTTACTTTATAAATGTATTTCAAATAAAATAGAAAGGCATGCATAAAGTTATATTAGTACCTATTTTCTTTTATGTTAGGAAATGCATAATATTTGATATATAATTTAAGATGCATACAATTATACTGGTACCATATTTTTTATTTTTAAGGAAAAGAGATTGGTTTAATTTTTTAAAATGAAAGAATTAAGCATCTTAATTCAAAAATAAAAAAGAAAAAGAAAAGAAGTAATAATAAAATATAATTTATTTGAAATATATGTATTGGATCAAAATTGTTTACATTTTTAAGAAGTTGGGACATTTATAAAGTAAATAACAATTTTTTTTTTTTTTTGTTACTTTTTTTTTATGTAGATTGGTCCAATTTATTAAATTGTAAAGTTAAAAAAGTCTCATAAACAGTTAAATGGTAATTCGATCAATTTCTCATATAAAGGGGTGTCTTGTCCATTTTTGAACCTTCAAGGGGTGTCTTTGTCCAAAAAACAAGTAAGTTTCATCTGAGTATTTTTTTGCCAAACCTCAAAGGGTGTGGCTGTACTTTACCCTAGGAATAATTTATGCATTTTTATAAAACAAGTTATATTGATTGTAATGGACTCATATTTGATTCATTATTCTGTCTTTTTATTTGCATAAAATTTATTTAAAACATATATTTATTATTATAAATTAATATTTTATATATTTATAATGCGGCGCTCTAGTGGCGCTGCAGCTCTAAGATTTTTTGGGATATGCCTCTCTCGCGCTCCCAGCTTTCCCTCCCGCTCTGTGTGACTTAGGTAGGGATAATTTTATAATTATAAGTAGGGTTAAGTGCAAGAAACACCCTTACTATATATAAAATGTGCAAAAAAACCTCTACTATTTCAATTAGTGCAAATAAGTACATTATGTCAATTTAACCATTAAAATGTCTTAAAAAAAACCCATAAAAGAAATAAATAAAAAATTAATAATAATAAAGGAAAATATTTTCTCTCCCCTCTATTTAATTCTCTCCATGTTCTTTCACATTTCCGGCACCCATTTTTTCCGCCACTTCCATATATATTTGCCGACAACCACCACCAAGTCCCAATTCTCACTCTCTCAATAGTATCTCTCTGCCTCTCTCTCAACAGTATCTCTCTCTGCAAGATCACTCTCTCTCTCTGCCTCTTTCTCATACCCCGGTCCATACAAGTCCCACTGGCCAATGGTATTGCCCAAATCCTCCATCCAATTTGCCAGTGGCTTGAAATGAAGCTTAGTTCCAGTGATGGAGATTCTGGCAAGGATCTTGACCGCGATGGGTTGCATGGGGTGAAGATTAATTGTTAGAGATATCGTAGCCTTGGCTCCAAAATTAACTAAACTATTTATTTTTAAGTTGCCAATTGGTTTCAGTGATAACAATGTTTGGGATTTAATTATGGTATTTACGAGGCGCATCTGGATCACGAACCTGAAATTTTACCTCATAAAATACACAACAGATATATATATATATATAATAGAATTGTATATGGATGTGTAGGTGTATTTTGATGAAAGGCAAGAGTATTTCGATGTGTATATGGATGTGTAGAATTATTTCTCTGTGGTAAAGTTATATTTTAAGAAGGGTTACAGTGTCAAAATATTATATTTTAATAATTTTGCTGGTGCATTTTATCTAAAATACTATATTTTAATAATTTTGCTCCAATTGTGGTGACACTTAGATCATTACTTTCTTTATTTTAATCAATGCATTATTTTTACTTTTTCATGTGACATTTCCGCCCATATCTACACAAAAATTCAGAAAAAAAAAAAAAAAAAAAAAAAAAAAAAAAAAAAAAAACCTTAGCATTTTAATTTCTCAATTTATAACAACTTGCTATATTTGCTATATTTGAGAAAAGTTTTGAGAATCTCATATTTTGAGAGGCTGTATAACACCCCATTGAAATGTATCAAAAAAACAAAATCTCCTATATTTGAATTTGAGAGGACATTTGAATGAGCATGGGATCTAAGAGAGGATTTAACTCCAAAACAACCAATTAAGTAGACAGAAAATTCTTTCCCGGTGAAGGCGGCTGTTATTATATCCTGTGATGGCTAGCACCACCTAACTACATGAGAGAGAGAGAGAGAGAGGGTGTTAGAATTTTTTTTTTATTTGTTTTCTTGCTTACATCAAGAAGGGCATTTTGGAATTTCTATAAATAATAAAAAAAAAATAAAAAAATAAAAAAATTAGACAAAATTGATGATTAGTGAGTAATTTGGTCAAAAGATGGATCAGTGGCTATGTGCACTTTTTTTTTTTCTAATAAGGGGTTTTTTGCACATTTTTTGTATAGAAGGGGTGTTTTTTGCACTTAACCCTTATAAGTAATTGCAGTATTTACAAGTCTTAAGGCTGCCTGGGCCACGATCAACGGACAGCCCAATCACAAAACAATGATAGAACTCATACAGCAAACCAAATACAATAGAGCAAGCCCATTAGCCCAGTACAGCAAACAAAGACAATACTAGTCTAGAATGACCTAGACTATTCTTGGCTAAGGCATACCCACAATCCGGTGTAACACAGTCGGGATAGGAAACCCTAAATTGCGCGATCTGATGAATCATGGATTAGATGAAGAAGCTTGATCTTTTAAAGGTCTATTGTATTTTGCATTCCTTATCAACAAGATGCCAATTCCGCAATATTATTTATGTTTTGCTCTTCCCTCCCTCCCTTGCCGCATTTATAATCAGATTATTTAAATATAAATATCTTTATTCTTCTTATATATTATTTAGGGACATTTTAGTCCTTTTTCTAATTTTTAGGATTAAAGAGTTTTTTTTACAAAGTGAAAGGCTATATAAGTCATTTTATATGGTTTCAGAACTCTGACCACCCTGTGCAAATAACGGTTAGGATGTGAGAAAAAGATGGAATAAATGCTTGATACGTGAATGATAATTATTTTTGAAAGGTGTTTCAATGTAATATTTGTCACTAAAATTAACCCTAAATATTAAGGTCCTCAAAAGTAAATGATTTAGAAAAATTTTAATTCAAATTGAATACCTTTAAAACCTTAATCCCTATTCCGTATTAAAATCGTTAGTAAATTGGGGGTGTTGGGGATGTAAAGACGAGTGTGATGGGAAGCGCTCCCACCACAAGCAATATACTTACTCAAGACTTAAGACACACTTTGAAGTCAGAAAGAAAATCAAGTCATATGTAGTAAAGCAAGCACAAAATTGAACAAATCCCATGTTCTTCATTACACAATTCAGCAATTTTACAAGAAATAAAAAAATTTATTAGGGCAACTTCAAGCCATGTATAAGCAAGAATCACTAATCAAATATTGTAAGCAATAATACATAGATGTGTAAAGAACAATCACAAAAACTAAATATTGTTCATTCTCTTAATTAACAAAAAAATTGAAAGAACATTATCAAGAAATGAGATTCCAGGCCAAGCAAATGGAGCAAATAAACATGTTACAAAAAAATAACGTGGTCCCAGAAACATTATTACCATCCTCCTCCAATGTATATAATCAATGATCCAAATCCCTTGCTCTTCCTATTATTAAACAAAATAATTTCACCCTAGCTCCTGCACTTAAACAACATATGATACAAATCTATCCTTCAAATCTCACCGATCTTGAAAGCCAAAAAATACTTTACTTTCCATGTTTGTTCTTCCTCGTGCTTCAAGCAAAAGAAGAGGTTCTGTGTTCGTGATGTCTAAATGAGGCCCGTATAAGGATTGTAAGCTTGAACAGGCATACCTGAGCCATAGGGATGGGCATTGGCTCCATATGGGTTGCCAAAAGGATTTAAAGGCTGTTGTTGTTGTTGTTGTGGGCCAATCATCATCATCTGCTGCTGCTGCTGCTGCTGCAACATAAAAGCCTGCTGCTGGTTGACCATGGCTGCCATTTGTACAGAAGGTGGAGCAGCCACAGTATTGGAGGCAAAAAATGGGTCATGTGCTGTTTGTGGCATCATGTGATTGGCCATTGGGACTGGCTCCCATGGATTGTAGCTCGCATTCTGGTTGCTTCTTCGCACTGCATCATCGTATAGGCTGTCTAGCGTAAGTTTGTCCAGCCCTCCCGCCTATTGTTTTTTTACCCACAAGTTGGAAGGCATCAGTGAAAATTACACGTAATTTTTAATTTTTCCTTGTCACAGTGTACTAGAACGAACACATGCAGAAGGGAAGAGAGGAGGAAGTCTTTTTTGTTAATTTTTTATTATTATTATTTTTTAATCTTGGCACAAAACTCACACACCCATTTTATCCCTATGGGGACTTGAACCATCGACCTTCTATTGTGGAAGGTGAGGAAGGACCACTACCTTTTGTTAATTACTCGACATGGAAAGAATAATTTCAAAGATAAACCATGACATCCACAAGATGCAAAAAGAATATCATGATAAATCGCCTACGTCAAAAACATAAGAGTAAAAAATAGCAGAAGATGTAAATATTATACCAGTTTGCTGGCAGCGGTGGCACTCTCATTTGAGCTTGGGGCAGTGACAAGTGCTAATTCCCAGCCCGTGGTTCCATTAGCAGGAGTCAAGCCAGTAGAAGTTGGTTGCTCAGCTGCACCTCCCACCACTATAGAAGAATCAGAGGTGAGGATAAGCATGGTACACTGTTATAAATATATATATAGACACACACATTTATCATTAGATTATTAAAGAAAAACTTACCAACTGGAACAATAGCCAAAGCCATAGCATTTTTCTCATCTAATTCTGAAACATCTGGAGTAGGATCATTCAAACCCTAGCAAGGAAGAAATGCAGTCAATAAGGCTCCATCAATTCAGCCAAATGAAAAAAATCTTCAGGCAAAGATGTGCTACATTTAAGAATGAGAAAGACTGAAAATTACCAGAAGATCAGGTGGTTCGACCTTAACAGGAGCTTCCACCTTAACCGGTTCGGGTTCAGGTTCAGAAGGAGGTGGGGATGGTGTGCGTTCCTCCTGCACCTCTGAATCTTTTTTGTACCCTATCGCTAAGATTATCTTGGGAGCAGCATTTTTACCATCAATTACCTGCTTTGTTGGACATAATGATTAAAAGGAACTGTGGCCAGATTTTTATAGTTTATCTAAATAAGAATAATCTTCTGAATTTCAAACTGTATAAAAAAAATAAAAAAATAAAAATCAACCAGAGGATTCAGAAATTGGAGATAATACATCCACAGCTTAAGGTCTCCACAAGTAATCAAAAAATGCTTTTTTCCCGATAAGGTAAGTGAAGTAATCAGAATTCTATATATAGAAAATAAAGTTAAAATGAAAGGATTTCTTGAATGATGATTCAACCAACATAGCAATGGCACTATTAAAAAGGAACTTACATGGAAAATATTCAAATATATAAATTTAACCTTTTCTGAATATTTTAGGTATTGTCTCAATTATTAACTTCTAAATTAACTTAGTTGCCTGATCTGCAAATTTAAGTGAATGGCCTTTGTCCAAATGAAATTGCCTGAACGTCAAGGGATGGATCATACAACTTTTAACAACATAGATATAACTAATAATAAATAATTATGGAGTTAATGATGCCTTACGGAAGCATAGCCGAGTTCAGATGTGAAGATTTCAAAATATTCAGCGTGTGAATAAGCCAATTTGATAATAAAATAAAATAAAATTACGGGTCCATCCTAAACTAACTTTGACAATACATTATAGCTCCCGACAATAAGTGACATCTGATTTTCTTTTCTTTTCCATTTGTGCTGAGGAAAAATAACAATGGCATATATGACTACTAATATATTGCTTCTCATTCAAGAAGACGACAAGTTCAATATGGAGAACTTCCATACCTGATCCTTCTGAACCGTAGAAAATCGTGGAGCTTCTCTGACATACTCTTCCATGGCTTGCATAAATGATGCAGGGGGCTTCATAATCAATAGATAAGTTTTCCATCAAAATATAGTTAAGAATAGAAATGAAACACCTTATTGAATTAAAATCTATTCCCGAAAGCACCCAAAGAGAACTTCCAAACCTGCTCGATCTTAATGAACCTCTCTCCACGTCCAACATCAAAGTTTTTACATATTTCATAAAACTCTGACAATCTCTCTGCCTGTAAATAGTGTCATAATTTAAGATGCATGCTCGTAAGAACACAGAAACCTGGACCCTATGCAAAAAGATAGTCTGGATGGTTGTAAGGAGAGGCATTCCAGTTGAAATATTACCTGTTGCCCTGCCCTCCGGTATATATCCAAAGCCTTGATAGCATCATGGCGTTGCATCTCAAAAAACTGCCATAATAGGTAATGACATGTAAACAACTTGCTAAATAATTAAACCATTCCATATAAGGCCAAAATCACTGCCTACCTTGTCAACCAAATTAACGGTACCATCACTTATGGCATTATAAATTTTAATACTTTCAGTAGCAACCTGTTCAAAATAATAAAGAAAATCAGGATAGTAGAATGGTATTTGCAATTATGGACAAAAGTAAATGTTTAGAAATCTCACTTACCATCAAAAGTGCCGACTGAATCACAAAATTATGAACTGCTGCTCCTTGTGGCTGCATGAAAGTTTCATATGGGGCACAGCGTTTGCATGTTAAAACTAGAGTACATTTATGAGTAACAAAATCCAACTTGATTTAGCTGAGCTTGTTATAAAATTACCTGGCAACCGAGAAGGCGAAACAGAAGCTGCTGCAAAGCTGGCAACTGCTCGAGTAATTCAGGAGTGTCCAGATCTTTAGTTCTCTGCACCACAATTTGCATCTAAGAATACTCTTGATAATAATAATTATTTTAACCATATCATAGAGCTATAATTTATACACCATAAGTACATAATGCAAGGAAGAGACTCAGAAATTAACTTCCGACAAGTTCTTTCTTATATATTTAGTAAATAAGATTCAGAACTAACTAGAAAAGAAAAGGCGCTTACGAAATTTTAAAAAAAGAGAGGGGGGTTAAGATAATCGCACTACTTCAGGGTAGATAAGTTTTGAGAAAGGCACAATGTTCTAGAGCCTGCAGAACAACTAGGTGACATTTGAGTATGCTGCAACTAACCTACAACTATAGCACATTAGTGACAGTATTTTCACCATTGCTAATAAGAAAGATGACAAGACTTGAAAGGAATAATGTATCCAAATATTCATCTAACGTAAGTTGGTCCAATACTATTTGATTATTAAAATACCTCAAAACATCTGCATTTCATAATATTTTGGGTCGCAACAGAAACTAGAAATCCCAAAGCAGATTATTGATTTTCCATGCAATATTAACCAATTGTTGCCAAAGCAGAAAGAAAATAAAATACGAACGAATGATGGGTAAAAGAAAATTTTCTTACAGGACGATCAGTCTCAACATCATACTTCAAGACACGAAAACATTCCAGCCTCTCTTCCAAAAATAATGCATAGGTGCGGACCCAGGCAGAATAATCCCATGCTGAGCAGCAGATAACAAATTTCATGAACAAAGAAAGTGCCTCTTTGTCAAGTACAATGGACTTACATTGAGAAAAAAGAGAAGAGAAAAGAAAAAGAAAAAAAAAAAAAAAACGTACCATTTGGGCTAGAATCATCTTTGAAATGAGCCAAGTTAAGCATATGGCTTCTGCTCCTGCCGTAATTTATTAATTCTTCATGGAATGTGGGGTCCACTTCCCGCAAAGCACGATGAATAACAATTAAAGTTTTCAATGCAACCTAAAAAATTGAAAAAGTCAAGCCGCCAAAAATCCAATGCACAAGCACATAACGGATTATTCAGGATCAAAAAGTGGTTTTCTAATAAACCATGGGATCGACTAATATAGGAAAACATAATCACATCCTGATTATCTGAAGTATCTTGCAAATTTACTGTATCATCATAATGCTGTGTCAAACTATACTTTGCGCTTAAAGGTAGATACTAGAAAAACTTACAAAAAATAATAAATAAATAAATAATAGCATATGAGAGAACAGTTAAGACCATTCCACCTCTGAAGTGGATGTACAACTACAAGAATTACACTTTTTCTTCTCCAATATGGAAAAAAACGTAATATCATTTATTAATATAGCAGGGAAACTTAAAGCTCAGTTCACTTGTTGAGTTGAATCCCTTCAAGCAAAAAGATAAAATAAAATAAAATAAAAAGTAAAAATATCAAGTACTGAATAATTAAAACTCATAGGATGAAGATATGAGTGAAGGAGATAAAGAAAAAAAAAAATTATTATTTATTTATTTAACTCTAATGCCATGGATAAGATATGATCAACAAGTACTTATCTAGCACCCAAAAAAAAAAGAGGATCTGAAATCAAGATTGTGAGATCCTGATTGCCTGTGTACCAGTCTTGGTCGACCATTTACCGGTGCGTCTTTCCTATACTAAATAGTACCCATGTATTTAGGTTATGTCCTACACTTTATTCGTGTCCAGCTCATAGATGTGTCTTGTCAGTTACCAACTTCCTATACTTGACAAATTAAAAGATGACAACTAGCCATGCGAGTCATCAGTGTGAAAAACTATGCTGCCCACCTAAAAGAATCATCAATTCATACAAGGCACTTCACCTAAGCAATCGAATATTCTACCTTTAACTCCTCAAGCGCAGCTGCAGAGCGATGAAATATTGCTGGACTTCCACATATTTGCTATGTCTTATTCTCTTGAAACATATATATTTGCTACTTATAAAAAAATAATAATAAATAAAATAAAAATAAAACATATATCTTTGCTATTAAATATTCAATATCTAAAAAATTTAAGAACATTACTGATTTTCTTAAGATTAAACTATGAAAGCTTGTGTGCCTTTGGCATGACAAATTCATGCTGATATTACTTCAAATCATAAAGGATTGATCCTTGCGATAAGTTTTCTCAACATAAACTATATTGGCACAAATATATACCGCCCAATTATGTGTTTTTGACAATCGTCTAGCAAGAGCATGTATGCAGTAAGCAACATCAGCTCGAGGCCTTGTAGCTGAAACAGCCGCAAATATAGCTGCAAAGAGAAGAAGGGGAAAAAAAATCCATCAAAACCATTGGCAGTTAAGAAATGATAAGCACAAGTTAAACAAAATGGGACATGTCAATCAAACAAAATTCAGTTTCCATCACAAGAGAATACCAACCTTTTATGTACTTCTCTTTTGCTGGGCGCTCAACATGATTTGTGGCCTTCACAATGGCAATGTCCAATTCCTGCAACAACCAAAACCCATACAAGAACATCAGGAACATCCACTGTTGCAAGAACCATAAAGAGAATCCAAAAGTTGCACCTTGTAATCACTATTGACTTTCGCCAAACTGACAGTGGTGGTATCTTTAATGGCTCCAAGCGCTTTTCTCAAGCTTTTCTGTGTACCGCCTCCTCTCGACATTCTCTCTTAATTACAAAATTCTACACAAGGTTCAACCAATAAATAATGTTCACTTCAATAAATGAATCTCAATTCATTCAAAACGAAATAAATTGAACTTCAAGATCTATGTGAAGAAAGTTCTAACAAAATGCACATACTGACATATAAGTGCAGTATCAATTAATTAAGCTTGTGATTATGCACATACAAGTGCAGTATCAATTAATTAAGCTCGTGATTGGAGTTCATTTTACCTTAAAGCTGGTATCAATAATTTCACTTCAATAATTAAATCTGAATCTAGTTACCTAGTTACTCCGTAAAATTGAGAATCATCATAGCTACTCAAGAACCGACTCTGATAGACCATCATCAATCAACACTTCGTGCTAATTTTATGTGTTTCTATCCCCTCTCTATATATATTAATATGTTTATATGTATATGTCTCTATGTATTATATTAATATGTCTATGTTTGTATGTGTGTAATACACCCACAATAAGCACATCAAGTCCTGAATTTCAAAAGAAGCAATTATTCACATATGTTAATAGGTGAAATCGTAACAGCATAGAAACACTAAATCAGCATGCATATTAAGATCAAACCACAAAATTAATCAAAGCAACGAGCGATAAGTGTACGCGCGCAAAAATCATTATCAAAATCAAGCTGAACATTGATATTTAATCAAATAGAACAACATGAACTTATAATCGAGGATCTAACAAAATACAACACAATCGAGACAAAGCACAATCAATTCTACATTCGCATTAACCTTTTGAGCTCAGTATTGATGTAAGTATAAACATAGGAGATCAGAGAACTCGATTCACCTGAACCTGGATCCAAAACGAGAGATAGAATACAGCAGAGAGAGAAGAAACAAATAGCAGAAGAGAGAGAGAGAGGCGTCGCTTGAGTCTGGTCTGCGACCAAAGAAAAGTCTCCAGAGATGAATTTATTTTGGTTGGCTGTCGGCATCATATATACATTTTTTTATGTATATATGTATATACACCTAATTTGTATTTTGTATAACATTACATATGTGGTAAATATCAATATTTATATATATGTATATATTACTCCTAGTCTCCTACCATATTCTAAATCTACAGTTTCTATATTCTCTCTCTCTCCATTTCCTAACCCACTCTCTCTCCATTTCCTAACCCACTCTCTCTCTCTCACAACTCGGTGACGCGTCAGAATACGGAAGCGTACGACTTGTACAACCGAAATGAAGTTTAGATTTCCGTTGCTTGAAACATGAACCGTAGATGTGGAGATGGTAATAACATGAACCGTAGATGGGGAGATGGTGTAGACGGGACACGGACTTATTTCGATCGAATGGTCAGTGTTAGTGGTACTCTTATTTTGTCTGTATCTGTGTGTACTCTATAATTTTTTTCCCGAAACAGTAAATGGCTTTTAAAACTCGCACTGATTGAGCTTGTCTAGTCTCGCAGAACAAGAGGGGGGAGAGAGAGAGAGAGTCGCTTGAGAACAAGAAAAAACTACTAGAAGTGACAGATGGGTAAAGGCATTGGTTTTTTATTTTCTTTATTCACAGAAGTGGCCTGGGATTTCGAGTAAATTACGAGAATGGTTACAATTTGAAGAGTGTGAGCGCTTTCGTGTTAGTTTTCTATTTATTGAGGTTCAAAATATATTCACGGCCTAGCAGGGTTAGATTCATACCTCTTAAAAGAAGTAATGATTTTAAGTTTTACTGGAGGCTTGTGTATATGAGTACTAATTAAGAAAATAAAAAAATATATTTATGATTAATAGTTTCAAAAATTATTTTTAAAAAATTTACTAAAAAAAATAATAATCTCAGATAACTATATTTTATATTATGTGAAAACATCTTATTTTTTGAATTCTTGACTGCACCAAATCGATCTGAGCTTCTTCCTTCTTTTTTTCGGCATTGTTAGGGCATCAAGAGCGGAGAGGCTCACTCCTTTAAAAATAAAAAATAGAGTGTCACATTCGATAGAACTTAAGGTATGGACGTCTCAATTGTATGTAAATGAGTATGCCACGTTATACTCCATGTGGCACTATTTATTATTGAAAATTCACTTGGTTAGGCCTGATTGGACCATGTCATGATCTACCTGGCATTTCTCTGGAAAACCGGTAGCCTTGAGCTAATAAGTCGGAAATCGCTAAACTCGCAAGAGGAAGGGGTCGCCACTCTTACCTCTCCTATGGAGGTACCCCGCTCCAGTCGGATAGGTATTTCCATCTCCTCTGAAGCTCTCCTCTGTAGAGGAAGTTTCAAACTTAACTGTTCATCTCGAACTCCCCCTACATAGGGGCTCAAGGCTTAAAGGAAGTGCGAAAGCTTGGGACCAAAGAAGGCAAGTCCCAAGCAATTTCATTATCTCTTCATATTTCGCGGGAATTTGAGAAACAGTAGTTAGGTGACTAAGTTCCAAGGATCCACCTCACCTCAAGGTTTGCACGAGGGGAAAAGAATGTTTAATACCCAATAGTTGAGTTCGAGTAATAGAGATTATATAATGCATTAAATATACATCGATTAACTGATAAGACATGAATTTATTACATGCTATCATCACCACCTCGAAAAGGGGCAGCGGCGAGCCTAGGCCCTGCTAGTTGTCCAGTCTGTTAAGGATTAGGTATAATGGCCATTAGATAAACAGGGAGCTACCCTTATAACCAAGGGTCCTTACCTAGGTAAAGTGACCATTGGATAAGGAGAGAGTTGGCTCTCAAGACCATGGGTCCTTACCCAATTGAAAGTAGTATAAATATGAATGAACTCTTGACATTTAAATAGGTGGGAATACATATACACCACAACTATAATCATAAATAATGGTCTTCTAGGACTTGAGCTACCATAGGTGTTAAGCAAGTCTGTCTTCTCTCTCTTAATCTCCTTTATAGAGAATTCCTTGTATTAGCTTGGAACTCCACTCAGTCCTGATCTCAGCATTCCCGATAGACATGGAACGATCTCCCCACATCATCAAGAACAAATAACAACAATTCATTTATAGTCTTTACCTAAAAATATATACTAGTACTTTTAATTGTCACTTTGTATGACTACTACTTTTATAATTTACTAAAGCATAGTAATAATTTTGTTATCTTTAAACTTGTGAAATTTTGTTTAGTTAAAATAATTTTATGTCTCAATCTTTCATCAAGATAGTTAAAATAATTTTTTGTCTCAATCTTCCATCAAGTTAGTAATGATATACATACTTACCAGGAAAAAAAGGGTAATAAATGATATACATGTATATATTTTAGAGCAAAATTCCTGACTCCACCCCCGCAATAATGTAAGGTCTTTTAGTTGCAAAAAAAAATTAATTACTGTGAAAAAATTCATGTATAAACAAACGTATGTGTGTGCAATAGTTCAAGGTCTCTTATTTGCAAAAAATGAACTATTGTGAAAAAATCGATCCAATTTGACTGAATTAAATTGCAACCCAGAGAACCTGATTAACCTGACCAATCAAACCATAATAGAACTCAAGCTAGCTCTTCCTAACTTAAAGTCGAATCTAATCCGAATTGGGAGAACATTGCTTAGAGCATGTGTTGGGATAGGGTTTAGCCTTAAACTCCCGGTTGCACTATTGTTATTCATGTCAAAATATTTTAGGCCTCCAGCAGTTCTAATTGACCATGGTTTGGGATTGCTTCTTTAATGCTTAAAAGTGTTTTAATTTTAAAAAATTACATTTTAATTTGTTTGATAACTATTAGAAGCGCTTTTAATGGTTGTCAAATTTTAGTTTAGTGAGCATTTGAATGAAGCTTTTTAGTTTAGTGAGCGTTTGTCCCCTTTTTTTAATAAAATAATTACACCTCTTCCTTAAAAAAGTTGCAAGTATTAAATATGGCAACATCGTATTAAAATATATTATTGTGTAATTAGCAATAGAAGTGTTTAAAAAAAATTATTGCCAAATAAATTAAAAAATAATTTATTTATGAAAAATACTTACTATATTGTGTCACCAACTTTTTATTGAGGACCTACTCACTAAATAGTAGGTCATTTTCTACCGACAGTTAATATGGTCTAATTATAAATTTACACATAACCTATAATTACAAAATAAGAAAAGTGATAAATAAGGACAATAACTCTTTTGGTAAAAAAATCACACCACCCCCTATGCTTTCCTTATTTATTACTTTCTTAAATTTATAATTGCAAATTAGCGTTTGTAATTGAACCACATTTTCAGTCAATAATAACATTGATGAGCAATTTTTTGACAGCTCTATTGATAAAAACACTTTTTTTATTTGCTCTTTTATGTTTTATTAGGTATAATGTATTTTAAATTTCAAAATGAAAAATTAATAAAAGAAGAATGTACAAGTAAAGTAAACAGATGAAGTGAATTTAAGTTAAATAGTTCATAATATTTAATGGTAAATAGTCTCTTTGCACGTGCAATATCATCTATAACCGACAACAATTTTTTTAATATGTCAAAATATTGATTTTATTTTATTTTTGGGATAACTCATCTAAATTTTTAACTCATTTCAGAGAAAAACATAAAAGTTTGAGCAATTGAAAATCCAAAAATATTTCCTGAAGAGGGTTATTCAATCTTTCTAGTAATTTTTTATTTTAATAATTATATATGCACACAGTACCTAAACATTGTTATAAGTAATATAAACACATAGATGCACACACCTTTTATATAAGTCCAAAATTTAGACGTAAACAATGCCACTAGAAGGTGAAGAACATATATTCTCAATGAATTTTATATGATATTATCTTTTCGGATCAAAATCATTTATGTTAGTATTATTTCGAGGTGCAAATTCAACAGTGCAACATTACTCACTTGTTAAATGATGTTGTTTTATACTTCAAATTTTATTAATTATAATAAAATTTTAAAATATAATTAGAACTATGAATATTATCAATGAAGTAAAATTTTAAAATAAATATTATAAAAGATACATTGCAAATGACAAAATATTATTTTTATTTTTTTAAAAATTGATGAGTCAGTTATTTTTGTTAAGATTTAATATATATATATATATATATATATATATATATATATTACAATTGAATATTAAAAAATATAAAAAATATATTTTTTTAAAAATACTTTTAATACATTTGGAGGATCATCATTAATCGCGTTTAAAAAGCTCCAGTTGTAATATAGTATGGATCGGGGGTATTTTTAATTGAAATCTCATGTCACAACAATGAGCCACGTGGAGTAGCTAACAACCTGCCAGCAGTGATCCTATTTGTACCATGTGATTGGTTTCAAATTTTCTATTGAAAATCATTGTTTGATATTTTAAAATTTTAATTATAATAAAATTTTAAAATATAATTAGAACTATGAATATTATCAATGAAGTAAAATTTAAAATAAATATTATAAAACATACATTGCAAATGATAAAATATTATTTTTATTTTAAAAAAAATTTATTAATAAGTTATTTTTGTTAAGATTTAATATATATATATATATATATATATATATATATATATATATATATTTTACAATCGAATATTAAAAAGTAAAAAAATATATTTTTTAAAAAATACTTTTAATACTTTTCGAGGATCATCATTGATCGCGTTTAATAAGCTCCAGTTGTAAAATAGTATGGATCGGGGGTATTTTTAATTGAAATCTCATGTCACAACAATGAGCCACGTGGAGTAGCTAACAACCTGCCAGCAGTGATCTTATTTGTACCATGTGATTGGTTTCAAATTTTCTATTGAAAATCATCGTTTGACATTTCGGGGGAAAAAAAAAGTTTTCATTGAAAATCCAATTATACCCTTTGAAGGTGAAGAAATGGAAAGAATGATAACGCGTCAATTTAAAAACGCACTAGGGTCAGTTTTGTCTTCCAAATATTTTTATGAATGCAGAGC